CGAGGAGGAGCTTCAGGGCTACGAGGATCGGCCGCTGCCTCTGGGAGAGGCCGTCGCAAGACTAGCGGTACCGACCTGCACACCAGCTCATGAATGCACACACGCACGCGTGTACATGCACACATGCACGCACAGATGCATGTACACGTGTACGTGCACACACGCACAGATGCATGCATGCACACGTGTACATGCACACACACGCACAGATGCATGCATGTACACGTGTACGTGCACACACACGCACAGATGCATGCATGTACTCAGACGCACATGTACACACCCATTCAGATATGAATTCACACATGCACACACACGTGCACGCACTCACGCACGCACACACGCACGCACACACACACGCACATGAACACACCCATTCACGAATTCACACATTCACATTCCACGCGCGGGCACTCACATGCACACGCACATGAACACACACACATGCACAGACGCAATTGCGCATATATATATATATATATATATAATGCAATTAGTCCCGTAGTCCAAGTATGCCATCTAGATCTCCCTCTTACAATTATATTTCTGTGTTAGGATCTGGTCACCGAGTGGAAATACAAGAAAGTGAGCATAGACCAGCTGCGCGAGACCAGCGATCATCTCCTCGAAACGTTTAACTGTGACTGCACACCTCGGCTGGAGGTGGCGCTACTCAACGATCGATATCTTGTCCTCAATGAATATGTACAGGTAAAGTTTGCTCGACTAATATTAAGACGGACTCCATATTGTTGAAAAGGCAGAACGAGAGCGTGTACAATTGTTATTAATGTAATAAAACTGTCATTTACTAACATAATTGTAACGAGATGTGTTAATTAATTGGCAAGTCACTGTCGCATTTCACCATAGCTTTTATTTACTCACAAAACCAGAAATACTGATAAATTAGTACGATACTAAAACATAACATAGATAGATGGCTGTAGCAAGCTGGCATATTACGTATCTATAGCGTAGATAAACAGATGTTAATTTCGACGTCAATACCTCTTACACGTGTAACTAACAAATTGATATAACATCAATTTAAAGTCGTACTCAATGCATAACATACATTTACACTATAGATGGGCGCGCTGTATTATTGTGGTCGTGGCCTAGCAATGTAACAATGATGTTGACTCTTGAGCTCTTATCCAAGGACTAACCAAATCCCACCAGAGGTTACACAAGTAGTCACAGTGTTCCCACTACCAGCCCTTCGTGGGTGCAGAATTATGTGCACTCGTGCTACGGACGACTTGGCTGCTTTTGCTTCATTGTTCCTACCTGCAAAACCGTGTGCTCACAGTGACAGACAATAAAAGGTGCAAAACGTAGGAATTGATATCATGAGTTGCTGTGACACTTCATCGTGAGTCGGAAAGGTACGGCAGGTTGAAACGACCAAGCTAACTGTTCCACATTTGTATGTGAGAGTGTTCGCTTGAGTAAGTGAAGACCGGCCAGACTGTGACAGAGAGTGACAGCCAATAGCCACATCTGCTCGGCACTTACTGGAACGGCGTGCATCGTGATACAATATGGCTGCGTTTGCAACCACCTATGAAAACCTATTTTCAAAGCGATTGTCTGGTGTCTGAGACAGTCAGCATATGTTCACAAACGCTCTGATCTGCTTGACGGCAAACGGCAGTGAATGGATTCTAATATTTCGCTTTCGTTTTAGCAAAACTGGTGCTGGTAACGGTCTGTAAACTTTAAAACTGCTAATTTTTCTGCACTGTGAGCACATTGGCACTGCAAGAGGTTCCGTTTGGTAGTCGTACAGTAAGCCCTCTCCTATCACGGGTTTTCTATCTGCAAAATTCGAGTACCTTTGGTTAGATTCCATTTCTCCAGCTGAGGCATAGCTTTCCAGTATCTACTATTTTACCAGAGATTTTAGACATTTTTCTTTAGATTCGTCTTAGGCATGTTATAACTTTCAAACCATCACATGAATTTCCTGTGCGCATCTATGCTTGTTTCTTATGTTCATCAAACTGCTTTGTTCTCTGACCAATCTCGCATGTTTGCCAGAGCCTGTCTGAGTCAATCATGAATTTGCTGATTCCCAAAAGGTAAAACATTAATGCACGCATTGTTCATTCTTGCTACCTGGCTGCGTGCTCTTATACAATGCTTGTTTATTCATCATGGCTTACAAAGCATCAACTGAGTGATGGTAATAAAAAACTGTCATGTTCAGTAAAATGTTATGTGGTGAGGATTTACTGTCAGAAGTGTGGCCAGTTCAGTTTAATAAATTATCCATCAGGTTAAAAGTTATAGTATAATACAGGCCTATGGGTATGCTAAAGGATACCTACTTTTAAGGGTAATTAAAACACTCAACACTATCTACATTTATAGTATATGTAGTGTGAAAGGTTATGCAATTTGAAGTGTAGTTAAATTACTAGAAATATTTTAGCAAGACCATGGCCTTATTCCACAAATTTTACCACATCATTGTATCACCCAACCATGGGGTTTCCAAGCGCAGCTTTTTCCGGTAATGTAACCTCAGTGATAGGAGAGGCATCGCTGTACTGGCTCTCTGGTTTTCCACATTTTCCTCCACGCTTGTTGCGTCTGTCTATCTATCTCTGTTATGCAACTATGTTGAGTTTATATGTTAAAAGTAAACAGTACTAACATAAGCTGCCACTGATTTTTTTTTATGTTTGATCGATATAGATTACTCGTGCATTCTATTCTAGTGCATTGCAAATGCATGGCACTAAAAAGTACATATTGGATGATATTGTTTCTATCTGAGAATGGTAACTTGTGGTTCTAGGGGCAATTATCAAGAGCGAATGGCCTGTACAAGAGCCTGGAGGAGACTCTCACGCACTGCGACACGTACCTGACAGAGATGGCCACATCAGTGGCTAGCGGCCATCCGGTGGTGGCCAGAAATGCTGAAGAGGTGCAGGAGCTGTTGCTGAAGACGCAGGTACAGGAACGTACTTGTAAGGCGGGGCTACTGATGATTTCTGTATCTCGCTATCTGTCACACTTTTCCTATGCTCCCAATCCCTTTTTTCATTCAATAATGATTTACTTTTGTTACCATAATAAACCCAAATAAGCACCCACAATATATGCAGATATCTACAGTAGTTAAACCCGACCTTACTACATATAGTGACAGAACAGAGTTGATGACATTAAGCAATTCCATGCTTATAATTCTTTGAGCTCGTGATATTGGATGTAATCCCTTGGTAGTAATTCGTGTTTGGGATTGCAGAAAATGCTAGAGGAAGTTGGTGACAAGAGCGCAATCCTTCAGGAGGAGGTCAAACAGACGGGAGAACTCGGGGAATGTCCTTTGAAAGAGCTCGACACCCATGTGCAGCAGAAGTTCGACCGTGTCATCGCTATGGTAACATACTATATGAACGTTGAGGCCCCCCAGGTGACATTGACAACATGTATCAGAAATTTCTGTGATGTGATGTGATGTGTTGGTGTCACATTCATCAAGTAACATTCCCAGCCATGACAGAACGCAACAAAATCTTTCAGGTCTGATACTCATACTTGAGCACTCCTCAATGTCAGTTACTAATCAAAATTAAAAAACATTCGTCACCACCAAAATTTGCCCCAAAAATCATGTCAAAACACGCCGCCAAATGCCAAAAAAAGGCGACAAAAAAAACGTCGCCTCCAAACAACACAAACATTGTTTTTCGTGGTTCGTGCAGACTCTGACGTGACAGACTCTGTGTGCAGATGTGAGGACTCAGTTGCTAAGCAGAATGTGAAACATTCGTCATCCACTGCCATGTTGTTTGCTGTTTGTGCAGATCGAGGAGCGGCTGGTAACGATCCGGAAGGCGTTCATGGAGTGGGCCGACTACCAGAAGATGAAGTCAGACGTGGAGACAGTGATCCGACCAGCTGCACTCGCTCTCAAGGAGGTGCAGCAGGTGCCAGTACAGCGCGACGACGATGTGCTGCAGAGCAACATTGACAAGGTCACGGTGAGCAATGTAGCAACGATGTGGTAATTAATGTAGCAACGATGTGGTAATTAATGTAGCAACGATGTGGTAATTAATGTAGCAACGATGTGGTAATTAATGTAGCAAGAATTAATATCGCGTCGATTTGCGCAATTAATGTAGCAATCACGTGGAAACGATTTGGCAACTAATATAGCAACAATGTAGCAACAATTTGCGCGACTGCTTTTGAACACGCGTCAAAAATCGATGCCGGTGTCCCGACAGATGACAGTTTGTAACATGCAACTAGCAGGTGTGTTAGTTTCGCAACCACAGCATTGAGGTGTCTACATGCCTCTCCAAGCCTATCTTTGACTGGTGAGGACGCGCGTATGCTTGCACGTATGTGCATGTAGTCCATGCCAGTCATACGTGACGATATTTCGCTGGTGAGCATGTGCGTATATCTTCGTGACGATATTTAACTACTGCGGCGGTGGTTCGTTGGCAGACGATGAAGGAGGACCTTGAGGATGTCAGCCAGCTGTTCAGCGAGCTTCAGCGTATATACAGCGCCCTCTGTCCCGGCGTTGACGCCGACGAGGATTCTGACTTCCAGCAGCTTCACAATGACTACACAGAGCTGAGTGAGCAGGTGGCCACTCTGCTCGAGATCTACCTCAGGTGAGCCAAACACACCTGCCCTCGAAAACAGCTAACTCAAATTATACTCATAATAAGTACTAAATACTAGTTACTAAATAAAACTCATAATTTATCTAACACAGCTTAGGTGGTAAAGTTCTCAGACCGCGTGATGCAGAGGCTGGGTTCTAAATTCTAATTCTTCTCTTCCAAAATTCAGGAATTCTTAAAGGGAGCAGGTATGGTGGTTGGGGAAGGGGCGTTGGGAAGTTGATGGCTATTTTTATGAATACGGTTTTGAGCCGGTAATTTTTTGACGTATGTTTTCCTATTTTGTGATACAATTCTTTTGACTACTGAGACAAACTGCTAATTAGACTACTAAATGACCCATATTTTTTCCTAGACACTGAAGAAATTAGGCCCAAATCGCAATAAGGGGTGCTATCCCCTGGACCCCCATCGGGATCTTCCCTTGTAATAGGTGCTTGAAGATGTAGGGATCGAATCCTCATGATATATATATATATATATATATATATATATATATATATATATATATATATATATATATATATATATATATATATATATAGGAGTATCATGGCTGCAAATTCGGCGAGTTTTAGCTGATTAAGGTAATTTACTCACAGGTGCCAGACACTGTCAGCTGAGTACACAGAGCTGTTGGCCACTATTGAGACACAATTGGAAGATTATGAAAAGCAGCTGTTTACTCTAAAACATGACACTGAGATGACACCACAGGACAAGATTAAAGATGTCGAGGTAATGTACTTTTGCACATAGAATCGTACCATGTTGGAGCAGATAACTTATACTCGTCAAGTATTATTAATACTATTATTATTATCATTGTTATCATTATTATTATTGTTGTTGTTGCAGCAAAGCTTTCGATTCATTTGAAGTCAGTCCATCGTTTTAACTTTGTCTAGAATTATGTCACTTGCATAAACTTTGGAGGTTCCTGCCTTGTATTATCTCAGTCTGGTACTATTACACGTGTAACGTACAAGCAACTAATGACTTCAAAAAAGTTATTGGGATAATGTGCTGATTTATATCTTGTACAGATTCTGCATGAAGCTGTGAAGGAACTGAAACCAAGTCTGGCGAGACTCCGAAAATTAGTCAGCTCTGAACTGGCGCCTCTCCTTTGTGAGAGTGATGAAGCTGAGCTGACGCAGAGTGTTAGGTAGGTGATTGGATGCAATCATACGTCATTCTGCAGTCATATTATATAGTTGTATATAGCATGTCATGGCATAGCTGGGTAGCATGGAAACATAATAAGGTGTAGTAATCTTGGTGTAACTAGTTACTCATTTACTCTCACGGTAGGGGATTCTAAATTTGAATTATGCTATCCTGCTTAAAAAGGCACACATATTTACTCTCATGGTAGGGGATTCTAAATTTAAATTGTTCTTTCCTGCTTAAAACAACAGACATTTACTCTCACGGTAGGGGATTCTAAATTCAAATTTTATTTTTCCGCTAAATAATTAACACTCATTTAAACTCACGGTAGGCGATTCTAAATTACTTTATTGTCACGGAATAACGCATGCGCAGTGAGTTCATTTTTGGACTTTAAACAATTTCTACGACACTCTCAACACTTTATATATATTGATCGGAAATTCAGAGAATCGGAAACTCAAAAAGTCGCATGTTGTCTCAGGTCTTCCATAATTATGACAAATTAATGGACTCTTGGATTTCTATGAATGGATAGAGAACTGAGGTGATTGCTGCAAACTATTTAGGTGAAATTCTCTATACTACCTGTGTTCGTTTGCCGAAAATTTCTTAGACACCACAATTAAACTGTTTGTGGACACCAAAATTTCTTAACCACCACAAACTGTTTGTGGACACCAAAATTTCTTAACCACCACAAACAGTTTGTGGGCCCAAAAAAATCTTACCCACCACAAACAGTTTGTGGACACAAAAATTTCTTAGACACCACAACCAGTTTATGGACCCAAAAAAATCTTAGCCATCACATAATATTTTTAGGCGAAAAATTTCTTCCTCACTGTCAGTGTGTGCAATACAGAAATGCTACAGGCAGCATAATAAGATGCATAAGCATGTTGGTCAAAGATAAGTAGCTACAGCCAATGCAACCAGCACAATTAGCTTTTGGTCTACTTTTAACTCATATACATGTTGGTCCACAGTTTGGTTGTGGTGGCTTAATATTTCTATGTGGAATCACTCAGTGCTATATCACTTAGGCCCATGTAACATTCCTCAACTTAATATCTAAAATTCCAATAATTTAATCCGCAATGCACTATTGCTTACTATTCTTATTCATTGTTATTTTATAGCATTAATATTATGCCTAATCTCTGAAATGCCACCTCTAAAAAGCGCCGTTGACTGCCATTTTATGAATAAATTGTGGTAGCACGTTGCCAATGTTTTAGTCATTGAAGTATATTGAGACACTACTTGCCCTGGTGTGATTTTTCGTGCATGGCAATTGTTGAATCCACGTTCTAGACTAACTAGTATACATTTCTGTATGTATGCATAAATCTCTAGGCAAGCCAGGAACAGCAAACTGATCAGGATCGAGACATACGCTACGTGAATATGTTAGAAGTTGTTTGCTTACACCTGAAACAAATCTACAAATTCTGTGGAAATTGTGCAATGATTTTTTGGCAATGAGGCCAACCGGGAATAAACCAAAAAATCGTTCGCGACTAACGTCATTGTAATTCTTTCTGCAGTGGTGTGGAGCAGAAGTGGACAGACCTTCTGCAGGACACTCGGACTTGTGCTGACCACCTGAAATCACAGGCTTCCAGCAATGAGCTGCTGGCTGCACTCCTGTGCAAGGAGCAGACCTGGATTGAACAGATCACAGAAACACTCACCAATCCGGTGGAGGTTTCACTTCAACCCAACGCTGCTAAGAAAGCGCTGAGAGAATTTGAGGTGAGCGAGAGGGAGAGAGGCAGAGAGAGAGACAGAAAGACTGAAAGAGAGAGAGAGAGAGAGAGAAAGAGAGAGCGAGAGAGAGAGAGAGAGAGAGGAAGAGAAAGAAAGAGAGAGAGAGAGAGAGAGAGGGGGAGAGAGAGATTGAAAGTTGGAAAGGGAAGATTATAAGCATGAAAGAGTTTTGTCTCAATGAAAGCGGACTCTATGTTGTTAACTCTGTGGATTTCTTGTTTCTTGCAGTCGATGTGTATTTCTGTTGATGCACACATGGTAGAGTACAAAACACAGCTGACAGAGCAGCTTTCTGAGATGGAGAAGTCTGGTAAGGAGGTAGTACCTGAATTCCAGCACCAGGTGGAGGAGAATGCTGCAGGACATGATAGTGTCAAGGTACAGAATAGAATTAGCAATATAGAATAGATCAACTGAATTCATTATCAAATATATATATATGTATTTATACAATAATAAATACGTAAGTTATGTGTGATTATTTTCCTAATTCTTAATATGATACACATGGAACGTAATTTTGGCCAAACCCTCACCCTTTGTGACATTCACACAGATCAAAGTTGTATAACGAGCCATTTAAAGTTTTGAGCAGTTCATGTCACAACAAATTTGTTATACAGGCTTTACTAGAGGAGCGAAGAACCACCCTACAAGCTGCTAAAGTTGATCGTGCAGCATACAGCAAGGACGATGACAATGTGACAACATGGCTGACCAAGGCGGAGGACATTCTGAGTCCACCTTCAGAAGGAGTTAGTGGCGAAGCTCTCCCTTCTCAGATACAGAACGTTCAGGTGTGCTTGAATTCAGTATTTTTATTAATCTATTGTCCTAATACTGCATCAGTGTGAATATTTAAGCCCTCCACTACCCTGCAGACTTTTGTTGGATAAGCTATAAAGCGTAAGCACCCTTTAAGCTCATCCATGGAACTGAGATAGTTAGTCTGGCACGCTGCCGTTAGCTTGCATCTCACAAGTGGACTTTCCCACAGGTGTTTTTAAGCACTGCCACCTCGCCTCAAACGTCTCTGAAGCAAATGACAGCACTTGTAGAGAAGATGGCACCAACAATGAATGCGGACGATTCGCTGGACATTGCCAACCATGTCAGTCAGCTGATTTTGAAACTCAATGTCACCTTGGAGCAGACAGTGACATATCAGGAGACACTTGGCAAGCAGTATGGTACGTGCTTTCGTTTGTTGTCACACATTGGGAGAGACAGTTATTGCCTACTCAAGTTAGGTAGAGTATAGATACATATAGCTATAGTTAGATATAGTCAGACCACTCACGAAAGATTTCATCTTCGCTATAACTGAGCCGAAAAGTCAGTGTTGACGACCAGAAAACCTTCGAACATTTTTTTCCAAGTAAATTATTTTACTTCTGTAAAATTGTGATTGTGTGTGTTCTTGCAGCCACGTGGCAACAATACCTGACACACGTGAAGGAGAGTAGCTTAATGCTGGATGCAATGGAGCACAAGATGAAGCAGCTAAAGGAGGCAAAGCCCCTTACTGCAACTGCTATTGAGGAGCGCCTTCAGAAGAACCAGGTACAGCCTTGCATCTGTCCATACCCTTACATTAATGACCTTGAATCCTGTGAGTTCAGATTCCTAAGTAGAGTATCTACAAAATTCTGGCTGGTCTTACACTAGCTGTGACTGTAACTGTTTTCATTGGTCAATCTGGATATATGTTTTCCTTCGCTCAGTGACTGCATATTTACTTCTCTATCACTCTATATTGCACTTCTATATATGCTATAAATAGATTGTCATAGTTTGTTATAGTTATGTTATATGTCACGATAGATGGCAGCACTGGCACGACAGTGATGCACGGTGGTTCTGCTGGAGTAAAAACATACTTGTCACATACTCTACGAGTTCTTTGTCTAATTGCGTATCCGTAGTACGAAACTACGACATAGATACATATACATTGATTGCTGCATTAAAGGGTACAAAACATGGTGATTATGGCATGCATTACTTACTTTTGGCAGTTATCTAGTAATGCCATGTTGCCTTACTTACAGGAGTTCACTTGTGAGTTAGAACAAAAGAACTCTCTGGTGGATGATGTTGCTTTGTCGGCCCGCGCTGTCGAGCGGCACAGCGATTCGGAAACGCGCCTGCAGGTGGAGCGAACTGTTACTGTGATAACAGAGCGGTGGCAGCTCATCAACCAGGAGGTGGAATCCCAGGAAGCAGCACTCAGGCAAATGATTGGAAGCTGGGAGGTGAGTACGAGGTGTTGTATGATCGCAAAGTAAAATTGAGACTTGTTGACGTGAGCGTTGGACTAGTTACTGCAGCAGTCGTCATGCTAATACTGCGTGTTCATTCATTAGACGTACAACGAGGCCGTGTCGTCGCTTACTACCAAGCTGGACTTCACAGAAAGCAAGGTTCCAGTCTCAGAGGTGGAGGTCTTTTCAAGGGATGAACTGCAGTTTGAAATTTCTGCAACGGAGGTCAGTGTACATTTATCTGTGGTAGTCAAATTGTGTGCCATGTGAAATGTATACATATATATATATATTGGTTCTGTTGGAGTTTGTTGTCATCAAAATATTATAGTTAGTGTTTATTTCAGTTTGCATGAAGATTTCTTTGATATGCTTTTGCCAGGAGTTACTCCTGGAAGTAGAACAGGTGATGATTGACTTGGATGGCATGAGAACTACTGGTAAAAGCCTTATCGCACTGCTGCCTGCAAAGGAGGTGCAATCACCAATCATAGATGAGATCAAAGGCGAAGAAGAGCGATGTGCAAGGTTGGTCTTCTACTTTTCTTCTTTTTCTTTTTCTTCCTCTGCTTTTTCTTGCTGTTCCTCCTCTTCTTATTTTTCTTTGATTTCATTTTGTTCTTCGTATTAGTTGTCTTTTTCTTCCCTTTATACTTCTTCTTTTTCTCTACCTTTTTTTCCTGTATTCAGGGCATGCACATATTGCTTTGCCCCCTTCTTCTCACCCATGCTATCCTGTATGATCTGTCGCTGCTTGGGTCTCTATACTGTCCAATGTGTCATGGACTCTATGTATTACTGGGAATCGAAATGGGAAATGTAATTTATTTTTCGCAGGTTGGAGGAGACAGTGAGTGAGATCTTCTTCAGGCTGCACCAGGAGGTCTCGATGAGAGATTCCTTCCACTCGGAGGTGACCGTCTCATTCACAGCACTGCAAGATGCCGAGGTCAAGCTGGACAACCTGACGGAGATGACCACAGACGATGAGCGCGTTGAAGCACAGAAGGTACGAAAGTTACGATTTCAATAGCAAAAAGTCGAAATCCGCTAATGATCTAACTTCTGCGTGAGGTGAGCCATGTTAGACTGACTGACTAATAATGCCTAATAATGACTAAATGAAGACTGAATGACTAATAAGCCTAGACATGGAGGTAATAGCTGTTAATTGTTTTTAATTAGTATATTAAATAGGGATATGTGTTTTGCCTGCTCCGATGTAGATCATTAGAGAGGAGGTGACTGTACACGTCACACGTGTGGAGACATCAGTAGTGCGCTACATGCAGACACACGACGAACTGCCGGAGGAAACAAGCAAACTGCTGTCAGAGTTCGACTCAAAGAAAGATGCGGTTATTGCTAAGCTTGATGCGGCCGAACAGGAGCTTAATGCGGTCAGTAGATCGTTAAGTTTTCTGAAATTCATAGATTAAGATCAGTTGATTAGGGTTGTAAAATACTAATAGTGGTATAGTAATATTTGTGATAAAACATTGAAGTATACTGATATAAATGTGATTGTTTGAGAGTATCTGTATCGTTGTTTGAAAGTACAAGTTGTGGTATTGTAATATTTTTGATAAAACGTTGTATAATGATCTAAATGTAAACTAATATAATATAATAATCTAAATGTAATTCTGAATGTATCGTCTGGTTGTAAAATAGCAATTGTAATCATAATATAATAGAAGGTTGTGTGTGATATAAATGTGATTATTCATGTCCAAATATATAAACATATACCGATAAATAAAATAAATCACAACCAACTGCTATAATGATATTGATAGTGAGCAGCTATTGTTTGCTAGCTGTCTGTGCCTGACCCCAGATTTCCGTCGTTAGGTACGCACGCTACGTGTAGTGTACAGGACGATGGTGCAGCATATCATTACACACATACACACCATCATCACAAGGATTCGTACGACGGTGATCACCACAACGACCTTCAATGTGGCTCAGCAGCAGCAGCAGGTACGTGCTGACATGTTGACGATCCGCCATAGTACTGGCAGGAACGGTGTACATCTGGATTCTTTGATGTATGATACTACTATTTGTTGATCCCTTGATTTCATACTTCTTGACAACTGCTAACACCGATTTATTGTTGGACTGTTTTGATCTAGCATGGTTATATCAGAAATTCGTAGTCAACTGTTGGTGTGGTTATAAATACTGTATGTGTGCCCTAATATTTCGTTGCTCTTCTCAGGCTATTGTGCAAGAGCTAGATGAATGCAAGGCCGAGATAGAGGAAGCTCGCAAAGAAGCTGAAGCTCTCTGTCAGGTGACCTCTGACCCTGAAGAGGTCAAGGACATTTTGAACAAGATTGCAGAGCTGAATGAACAGTGGTTAGAGGTAAACATGCAATTCAATCAAGATTGGTTTCAAATGTAATGCGCCCTATGTAGTACTATATTGTTGTCACTGCAGACATGGCAGGTAGATATTGGGTTTAGGTTGGTTTATATTTAGTTTCGATACAAGTTGCCAGGCAAAAAAATTACTCTGGTTGCTGTGGAAATGATAGGATGGAAAATATTTGGCTGATTGTCTCATTAAAAAAAGCAGAGCCTGAACGTGTGAATCTTCGTCTTGTTCAGGTGCAGACACTCGTTAATCAGAGCTCACAGCAGCTTGGTGAGGCCACAGAGCTGTGGTTCTGTTACGAGGACTCTCGGACGTTTGTCACTGAGTGGGTGGCAGGCACAGAGAATGCGATTGCGATTCAGCAGGCGTCAGGCAGCACCGAACCGATAGATGTACAAGTCAATGAGCTTGAGGTGAGATCCATGTCCACCTAACCTGTGACCTATCACAAGGTTAACATTCTTGATATAGGTGTGATCTAGTGCACACCCCTCCCCTCGCCAATTCACAGTCTACACACCTACCCTGCCAACCACACACAACACCGCTAATGAGGTGGAACGTAATTGGTACAGTTAACTTTGTTATAGTATAGCATGCCGTATAAGGGAAAGAATTCATTATGTAAATATTAGGTTACCTAATATTATGTAAAGAAAGGTTTAAAAACATGGTTCATTCATGTTTATTGTAACTTAATCTATGTGAGGAGAGCATGCTTTATTGCACCTGATGTGCATGTACAATGGTATTGAACACTGTTTCTTTGCAGGGTTTCATGAATGACTTCGTTCAAGTACACCACCACATTTCTCTTATGGAGGATACACTGGAACAGTTGGAGCAAGTGCAGATACCTGTTGACCAGGAAAAGCCCATTGTTGCGGCCTTATCTTCCACAGTCAATCAGGTAAAAGCATGAGATAACTGCCATACTAAGGGTGACAAAGAACATGAGTTCAAGTCCCGAAAAAAAGAAAAAAAGAATTATAAGTAACTGATGGTACTGCAGAGTAATAGTATAGCTAATTGTAATATAGTGTAAAAATATAACAAACGGTTCTAATTGGCATTCCACATGTGCTATATCATTCATCTCGTGATAATATTTTATTACATTTCAGTTGGAAGAGGTCGTCAAAGGCAGAGTCAATGCACTTAAGATCGAACAGGACGAAGAGCGAGTGAGGTTGTCTCAGCTCACCACCGTTACCACGACAACAGTGGTCACCACCGTGACGACGAAGCCGGAAGTCGATGTACTGGAGTCTCCGTCGGCCATGGAGGAGATGCCGTCGCCGAGCGACGAGACGTCCCAGCAGGCACTGCCTCAGGAGGCGGCGCAGGCCGTGCTGAGTCCAGACGAGGCGACCGAGGACACCGGATACTACAGTGTCGAGGACCTGAGACAGGTCGTCTCACCTACGAGTCCTAAAGCTCGAGAGACGGCCGTCGTGACCGTCGCCGACGTGCTTGCCGTGGAGAAGGCAAAGGAGCGCCCCGAGGCGACCGCGGAGGAAGCTCTCATCGCGTTCGAGGATGAGGAGGCTGCGAGCTGGAGTGAAACGGTCGTCGAGACGACGACGGAGACGACGACGGAGACGGCGACGACGATCGTGAAGGAGCAGGTCTACACGGAGGTGGACGATGAGTCGACAGAGTTTGTCATCATCGAGAAGGAGGAGGTCGACACGGGCGTGTCACACGTGGGAGAGGAAATTGAGACGAGCGAACAGAAGGAGGTGCGCGAAGAAGAGGCACCGGCTATGCAGGAGGATGAGCAGGAGAAGGAAGCGTTTGTGCTTGTGGATGAAGAGGAAGCTGAGGCACAGCCAGAGCATCCTCCGTTGGCAGAGGATGAGGTGGGCCCTGCGAAGAAGTCGAAAAGAAAGCGAAAACCTAAGAAGAAGAAGAAGAAGCATCCGTCTGATCCTCATGAAGTTGTGGCTGCAGATGAAGTAGAAGAAGTCGCCGAGGATGGAATGGTGGGAGAAGAGCACGCCAAATCAGAGCCAGTAGACGAGATGGACGTAATTAATGTTGCAGCACAGAAGGAAGACATCGAGGAGACATCAGTGACGATCACAGAGAAAGCGGTCATCGAAGACGTGAGAGTCGATGAGGAGCTACCAGAAGGTGTTGAGAAAACGGGCGAGGAGGAAGGTGAAGATGAGGAAGTCCATGGCAAAAAGAAAAAGAAACGAAAACCAAGAAAGAAGAAGAAGAAGTCCCTGTCAGAACCTGCAGAGGCAGAGCCAGAGGTGGCAGCCTCAACTCGTGAAGTGATCACTGAATCCATCACCACAGAAGTAGTCACTACAAAGGTTATAACTTCAGATACCATCACTGAAGAAGATACTACAGGAGAACTTGCTGAAAATGCAATCACTACTGAAGTAGTTACAGCAGAGAATGACACTGCTGAACCAGTCAGTATAGAAGTGGCTACCACTGAAGAGGTTGCAACTGAACCAACCACTACAGACGTGGTCACTACTGAAATTGTAACTACGAAACATATAACCACAGAAATAATCACAACAGAAGAGATCACTACTGAACCAGTTACCACAGAAGAGATCACTACTGAACCAGTTACCACAGAGGCACTTACAACAGAAGAGGTTGCTACTGAACCAGTTACCACAGAGGCACTTACAACAGAAGAGGTTGCTACTGAACCAGTCACTGCTGAGGTAATCACTACAGAAGAGGTAACTACGGAAGATTTCACTGATGAGCCTTCACTCCCAACTGAGAGCCCTATCGACTTCACGACAGAAGAAGCCGAGGTCTCTTCTCCGCACACTGTTGAAGATGAATCTACTGATGTATATGATGAAGCACCAGGAAGGAAGAAGAGGAAGAGAAAGCCGAGGAGGAAGAAGAAGGCAGGAGTTGTGGTGGAGCAGCCTGGGGAGTCTACAGAAGACACGAAAGATGATCAGTATTTTGTCACGGAACCAGACGATGATGTTGACACAAGAGACGAGGCAGAGAAACGTGTGACAGAGGTGACAACCATCAAGAAGACGGTGATAACTGAAGAATTACGTGAGATCACTGGAGAACGGGTGCTGGTCACAACAGACGAAGCTGAGTTCAAAGACATTCCACAGAGTTTGTCAGAGGTAAGCTTGGTCATATACCTTAATTCACATTTTAACATGATTTTTTTTACAGTATTTCGAAATATTGAGTTACCTTAGTTATCTTAAGTGCATTCTTGACATATTCCTAGGGAAATTGATCTTGGAACACATTTGTTCTATATAATTGTTCTCCTGGCACCTGCTGCTTGCTTGCTATAATCTAACATAAACTGCTTTGTAATGTATATGTACTGCTGCTTCAAATTAAGCATCTATTAAACTAATAGCGCATCTAAAACCCTTTATTGAAAAAGTGTAAGGAGAGGGAGGACGAGTGAGAGGAAAGATGGAGCGAAATGAAGCAATTTTAACGAGTCAATGTGCTAAGCTGCTGTAATATTTTTAATGTGCACATGCTTTTTGTATGCTGGCTTTGTGAAGATTTGGCTGCTATGTGTGCATTGTATAGATGTGGAGAGAGCAATGTGAGAGCATAGCTACAATGCTTAAAATAAACGTGTAAATTACTAATAATTGCACCTATATTTTCCTGATTTGTAAATTCTTAGTAGGAAAAGATTTTGCGGTAAAAGTGCTTGTCAAATTTGCGAATCCCATATCAAGGCAACCTAGTAAAGATTTGAGTTGCTACTAAAGAACACTCGTTCTAGCAAAAGAACTGTAACGTGGAGTGTGTTTATTTCAAGCATTGTAGCCGAAATGTATAATATCATTGTATATTTTCTGGGCTGTATACCAATATAGGGTTGTCGATGGCTCTGCTTTTAAGCTGTAGTGGCACTGTGCTAGCTATGATTAGTGTGTATTTGCACAACGGTAATCATAGTACCAATTCTGCTGACTAACATGAGGATTGGAGTAGACGACACCGTTTATAGTAAAAGGCTCGAAAATTGCTCGTGACTGGAAGAACTCTGGCACTAACTATAGTTGCATCAAGCTAGATAAAATGAGCAATTCATTCAAGCAACTAGAATCGTGTAGTGGGTGGCACAAACACCTCCAGCACATGTAACTACTAACGATACCACAAACTCCTGTCTGATCTACACGAGCAACATTAACATCACACTACTTTAGCCATAACCGGAAGGCAGAACCGTTTGCCAAACACAAAATAATGTTTAAATAGCACCGTAATGTATACTATTTTCACAGTCGTACGACTTGTGTGCTGCCTCTGTAGTTTATGTTGCTTTAGTGCAAGCATTATGCACTGTATTTCCATAGACTAGTAATTGTAGTTCACCATGTAATCCATGAGTAGTAGTTTGTAGGTAGATGTAGCTGTGCTTGCTGCTTTCTGCGTTTACTTATGCATGTTGCCAAAATATGTTCTCTGCAATGCATGTCACATTCTCTCTTATCTTCCTACCATGCTGCATACGTTGATCTAGCACTTAGCACATACCTGTAGATTTTGCTGACTAACATCTTTCCGCATACTCTTGATTGTACCTATTAAACCAATTAAGAAGATTTCATGCTGTACAAAGTTTTATTTTGATGGTTGTACACCAAGTTCATGGTTGACAATATGTTCTTACCCCTTGTTCACCATTTCGTGTTAGAGACGTATTAGTTTTATTTGTTTGTTGTATTTTTGTTGTCTCTTCTTCTTCAGACACTGCATGTCACAGATGCTAGTATCCCTGAAACACGCACTTCCGAAATCACTTACACAATACCCGGTGCTTCTGAAACCAAAGTAGCAGAGGTTACCCGTACGATTGTCACCACAACAACTTCAGACACAAGTGCTGGTGCTACTGAGGAGGCAGTGGTATCAGATGACACAGCCGAAGTGGATGAAAAACCATCTGAAATGGAGACGACGACAGAAACCATCTTAACGACAACAGTTACAACAGTCACAAAACATGGCACTGTGAGTAAAAGTCTCCAAACTTCTGAGGTGGAAATGGCTGTCACAGACATTGCACCATCTGCCATAGTGATTGAAGAGGAACCAATGCCAGAAGAGGAGCAACTGACATCTGAGACCATTGCAAAGTCTGTTGTTACCAAACATGTGACATCAGAGGATAGTTTTGAAATAGTTAGTGGACCTGATGATGAGCCTAGCTCTGTTGAAGTACTCAATTCTGATGAAGTAAGTGAGGCAGTCGATAATGTATCAACATCAGATGATAAGAAAACGTTTGGTGGCATCACCTCTTGGTTCAGTTCAAAGCTATTTGGAAAGACGAAAAAATCTGAAGATTTTGCAGTGGCAGATGTTCCTGAAGAAAAAATGGAGGTTATATCAGCAGTGAGGGATATTGATCATCCTAAGGCTACTGAGGATTCTTCTGTATCCGAATATGCACAAACGGCAGTGGATGTATCGGATGTGGTTACGACTACAGTCACAACAACTACTCGTTCGATCATTGATGAGTCACAGGGTAGCGAAGAACAAGAATCAGCACCCAGTGCTGACCAGTCAGGTGAGACCCAAGCCACTGCTGAAACAGAAGAAGGTTCAACGATAACTACAGTGACAACAATTACAAAAGCTCTTGCAACGGATGGTCAGTTTGAGCTGCAACCTCAAGACGAGACAGTGTCATCTGTGGTGCAACGAGAAAAACCAAGCATGGAAATGAGTTCTATGCACTCTGTTAATGAAACATCAGTAGAAGAACGTGTAGAAACCGTGATAACAACTACAACCACAACGACAGATGTGACAACAACTGAAGGTGTAGACAGTGTGCAGATATCTGAGCCAACACAGGAGGTTATGGTAGATGCCACAAATAAACTAGAAGAAGAGGAGCCAGAAGAGACACTGGAAGAGTATGAAATAATAGAGAGAACGATAACCACTATTAGACACACAAGTGGGGATACGGGTTATACCTATGACGAAACTGACGTTTCACAATATGAAGGCTATGAGTATGATGAAGAAGAAGTAAAATCTCCATCTGCTCTTAAAGAGTTAGTTAAATCATTCTCTGGCATCAGAACTATGGCAACGATGATTACAACTATGAAAACAGATGAAGAAACGGAAAATGCCACACCATTATCATCTGTCGGGAAGGAATCTCTACAGCCAGTTACTTCACCTGAAGCTAGCTTCCAAGCAGTAGAATCGGAAGAAAAGGACACTCATGTGTCTACAACAGTGACGACAACGGTACATACTGACCAAACAGTCAAAGAGGGCAAAATAGAATATTCGCCTGAGGAAGAAATATTCAGAGATGAATTAAGTGGAGGAGTGAGTAAACATCAAACAGAGGTAACTGACATAATTGCTGAGCAAGATAGAACTGAAAGGGGTCCTGATTTCACTGGAACACCTGTGGGCGATGAATTTGTACAGGAACCAACAGATACCAGTATAGGTCTTGTTGATGAAGATTACAGCGATGTTGCACAGGATATCACTCAAGTTACAACAATTGTCACAACTACTACACGCACGACAACCATAGATGGGAAAGAGGTAACTGAGGTGCATCCTGTTACAACTGAAACAACAGTGCGTGCTGATGAACGAGAGGTTGAAGACGCAAAGTATATTGAGAAGAGTAAAGACGTAGAGAAATCACTTGAAACAGAAGAGACTGTAGAACAGGAAGTCATGGTAGTAGCAACAGAACCCAGCGAGTTACCTGAAACATACAATGAAAGCGAGGTTACTGGGGTAACGACGGTGACAACTGTTAGAACAACCGTGGTAACTGAAGGGGAAACATGTGTTCACATTACCAGAATGTGTCACTACAGCTGTCGAGGGAAGTTCTTTGCTTCGAACTGAAAACCCTATGTATAGCTTATGTTGTTGACAGATGTACTACTGCAAGAAGTTAGGTGAGAAACCAGCAAGAACCTGTGATTCATAACAACAGCTTGTGGAGTGCAGCACATTGAAACACCAGACGAGTCTGTCGTTTCAACAGCTGAGGTACCGATTGAAGATCAAGATATCACCACAACTCAGGGAGAGACTCAAATAGTAGAAGTAACTACGACAGTGACCAGGAAAGAAATCATATCTACACCAGAGATAGCAGAAAGTGAAATACCTGTAACACCTGAAGATGTGAAGCGTCCTGAAATTGAGGAGATGAGAGATGTGGTTGAGATCGCAGAAGAGGCAATCCGGAAGAGCAGAACTCCTGCTAGTGGTCTTGCTGGAATGGTTGAGTCTATGAGAACTATCAGCACAATTACTACTATGGTTACCACCTTGACGACAGATGAAGCCATCACAGACGTACGTGAGCTTGAGCCTTCTGAGGAACAACGACCTCTAGTAACAGAAGAGGACGTTGACACTGATGTAATTCAACCTGTTTCACCAGAAGCAGCAGAGATCTTTGAGGAGCAAACTGTTGAAGATGTCCAGTACATCGAGGAGATTGCAGATACAAAGAAATCCGTGGAAACAGAAGAACAGCCAGAACATGAATTAATGGTAGTAAAGCCAGAACCCACTGAGTCACCTGAACTGTTCACAGAGAGCCAAGTTACTGAGGTAACGACGCTGACAACTGTTAGAACAACCGTGGTAACTGAAGGGGAAACAGTGTCTACAGAGGTCATAACAGCTGGGGAAGTTGTTCATGAACCAGAAGATGTTACAGATATTACTACGGCAGAAGTTGAGGTTGAGAAACCAGAAGAACCTGTGATTACAACAGCAGAGGCAGACGTTGAAAAGCCAGACGAGTCTGTTGTTTCAACAGCTGAGGTACCGATTGAAGATCAAGATATCACTACAACTCAGGGAGAGACTCAAATAGTAGAAGTTACTACTACAGTGACCAGGGAAGAAATCATATCTACACCAGAGATATCAGAAAGGGAAATACCTGTAACACCTGAAGATGTGAAGCGTCCTGAAATTGAGGAGATGAGAGATGTGGTTGAGATCGCAGAAGAGGCAATACCGGAAGAGGGCACAACTCCTGCTAGTGGTCTTGCTGGAATGGTTGAGTCTATGAGAACTATCAGCACAATTACTACTATGGTTACCACCTTGACAACAGATGAAGCCATCACAGACGTACGTGAGCTTGAACCTTCTGAGGAACAACGACCTCTAGTAACAGAACGAGGAGACTTGACACTGATGTAATTCAACCTGTTCCACCAGAAACAGCAGAGATCTTTGAGGAGCAAACTGTGGAAGATGTCCAGTACATCGAGGAGATTGCAGATACAGAGAAATCCGTGGAAACAGAAGAACAGCCAGAACATGAATTAATGATAGTAAAGCCAAAACCCACTGAGTCACCTGAACTGTTCACAGAGAGCCAAGTTACTGAGGTAACGACGCTGACAACTGTTAGAACAACCGTGGTAACTGAAGGGGAAACAGTGTCTACAGAGGTCACTACAGCTGGAGAAGTTGTTCATGAACCAGAAGATGTTACAGATGTTACTACTGCAGAAGTTGAGGTTGAGAAACCAGAAGAACCTGTGATTACAACAGCCGAGGCAGTCGCTGAAAAGCCAGACGAGTCTGTTGTTTCAACAGCTGAGGTACCGATTGAAGATCAAGATATCACCACAACTCAGGGAGAGACTCAAATAGTAGAAGTTACTACTACAGTGACCAGGGAAGAAATTAGATCTACACCAGAGATATCAGAAAGTGAAATACCTGTAACACCTGAAGATGTGAAGCGTCCTGAAATTGAGGAGATGAGAGATGTGGTTGAGATCGCAGCAGAAGAGGCAATACCGGAAGAGGGGCACAACTCCTGCTAGTGGTCTTGCTGGAATGGTTGAGTCTATGAGAACTATCAGCACAATTACTACTATGGTTACCACCTTAACAACAGATGAAGCCATCACAGACGTACGTGAGCTTGAACCTTCTGAGGAACAACAACCTCTAGTAACAGAAGAGGACGTTGAAACTGATGTAATTCAACCTGTTCCACCAGAAACAGCAGAGATCTTTGAGGAGCAAACTGTTGAAGATGTCCAGTACATCGAGGAGATTGCAGATACAGAGAAATCCGTGGAAACAGAAGAACAGCCAGAACATGAATTAATGGTAGTAAAGCCAGAACCCACTGAGTCACCTGAACTGTTCACAGAGAGCCAAGTTACTGAGGTAACGACTGTGACAACTGTTAGAACAACCGTGGTAACTGAAGGGGAAAACAGTGTCTACAGAGGTCATAAACAGCTGGAGAAGTTGTTCACGAACCAGAAGATGTTACAGATGTTACTACGGCAACAAGTACTGTTACAGACACCGAAGTTTTCTCTGTCAGCAGTGATCAGTCTGCAATTGAATTTGGCACCCGTGAACTTATTTCAACCACTGAGGTTGTTATTGAAGATGTGAGAGATGATACGACGCGTGAAGTGAGTAAAATCATCTGGGTAGTATGCCATTTGTAAGAGCAATGCCTCTAAATGGGTGTACAATATTTTGTCAAGTAATATGAGTTAAGTAATGTAATTTATTTCATGTGGTCTGGTTTGATTGTCAACGAGTGTACGTGTGTGAGTGTTACCAGAATCTAACATGTATCAGGATTCATGTACATTTTCTGACGAACATGTGGCATTTTAATGATGTGATTATTTATTACAGGAGGATATTGTTGTGTGTGAGGAAGTCACTGATGTTGATGCTGATCAACTGCTACCCGAATTCACTACTGCTCATCAAAAACTAAAGGTAACGTAATTGAACAGGAGACATTAAAGTCGAGTAACCTCATATGATTGATCTCTAAAGTCGTGTATCTTGTCTTGTAGTGATGTTCTGAAATGGCAGCAGTGGTATGTTTTATTCACAAATATTGAGTAAAGCTACCGAAATCAGATCATCACTAAATCACTACCATTCTCATGACCTTTCAAAACATTGGTGGTTTCTCGTATGTCCTCGGACACAAATTATGGCCATAGAGATAGGTGCATGCCTTCCTGGTAGTAAAATTAGCTTTGGGCATGAACTTAATGTATGAAATTTATTTGAGACAATGACCTAGTGATTAATAACACTCGTGATTTATTGCATGAGTACATGCACACGTGTGGGCGCGTGTGTGTTTATGTATTATTTGTTCATATAAGCATGTTATTGAACCATTTTTCATTTTATTTCCAGGAACCTTCAGAAAGCCAAGAGCTTCACTTGGATGAGGTAAGTTGGATTGTTACTGTACATCATATTAACATGAAAGTGTACGAGGTGGACAGTAGAAAAATATGTTTGTTTGGACATAGTAGCTCACCCTTGTGCTTTGTTGTCAGCTTAAATCTGTGCTTAAGTGTGCATTATTGATACGTTGCCTGCAGAATGGATTCCACTCAGAATTTCTGGCTGTCATGTGCAATGCATATAGAACAGACAGTTGTGTAGCCTGAATTGTTTATATCTCCTCATACAGTAGTATTTACCGGAATGCGAGGAAGATATGCGCTGTAGAGTAGTGCAGTAATGCTTATATTCGGTTACGTGCATCGATCTGACAAACGTATATTAGCTGTGAAAAGTGAGATTCCAGACATCTGCTTCTGTTTCACAGAAGCAGTGCAGTTATGAGTGGAACAGTTTTTCGTTATGTTATGGCTTGCCTTCTTATGCTTCTATGTGATTAATGCAAATTGTTATGCGATATTCTCTGTTGGAGTGATCATGGTAAAGACACACAGGGAGGCATTTCGTGATAATCTAATATCTGAAAACAACAGGATGTGGTGATGTGCTACTCAGGGCAAATGAGATTTGCTCGTCTAACACATTAACACAATTCACACTTACATGACAGACAGGCTTATTCTTAAAAACAACCCCAAATCTGCAACATGGCTTTAGCAATTTCTATGCATATCTAATTATTATTTGTGTTTGCGTGCATAATTGTTTCGATTTATACTTCTTGTTTCAGTATTTACTATGTATGGAGGTTGAGCCTTCTTTCTTGATTTTGTGTGGAATCTTGGCTCAGCAACGCAGCATGCATTATATGTGTAGTCATTAGTCAACCTCCTAACCATAGCTTGTTGTTATTAGATGTCTACTATTATATATGAACCTTTTAATGTTCATAACAGTATACTAAAAGTAGTAGTATGTCCTTGTCAGCTGTCTTTAACAATTGTCTTGGTGGATGCTATATCTGTCTCTTCTTTCTTTTTAGTCTGTTGTGGATGAAGGGAAAATAACACAAATGCTCACAGAAACCGGCATACAGATAGACCAGAATGTAGAGCTTGTTAGTCGTGTATATGTGATTGATGATGTACTAACACGTGTGAGAGAAGATGACCTGACTGAGTGTAAAACAGTTGCTGCAGACGAAAAGATTCTCAACGAATCTCAAGGAGTGCATACAGTTATGACAGACCATGTGGTAGCAACGCAACTAACTGATGTGGTCAATGCTGAGGTTAATCTAGAGAAATCAGATGAACCTACTGCGATTACTGCAGCTGTGATTGAGCAAGAGACGCCAAGCGAACCTTCCTGTGTGAACAACGTTGAGGAAATTATTGAAAAATCTGTTGAATTACCAACAAGTGAGCCAGCTGTGATATCTCAAGTAAAAATGGAAAAGACCAGTTATGATAATGAAGTAGCAAAGCAAGAAGATAATGAGATCACAACGACTGGGGTAATAGCTGAGGAACTAGTCGTAGATGATATTCTTGATTCTCCATATGTTGCCCAAAGTCTGCGTTCAAAAAAGAAAGAGACGACTGAAGAAGAATTTACTTCTATAGAAGTCGGACTCACACGAACACCATGTACCAACGATGTCGAAATAGCTGAGGCTGACGTTAGGAAGCCAGAAGAGTACACCGGCAATGTGTCCACTTCTGAGGCTAAGAAAACAATAAGGCCAGGAGAAGGAACAGTTCCTGAGGTTCAGTTTGAGAACCAAAAAGAACTTATCGACGACGTGAATACTGAGTCTAAGCATGATAATGAGGTGCTTCCCACCGAAGCTGTGAGAGGTACGGTAAATGTGGCAGGTCTGCAAGATGTAAGAACAGAGGAAGAATGGGAACTTACAGAAGGTAGTCAATGGACAGGCAAAAAGAAGAGAAAAAGAAAACGCAAGCCAAGGGGCAGACGGAGAAAGCACCATGCTATTAATGTCGATAATTTGCTGACAGAAACTTGTTTGCTTGAAACAGAATCAGATACGCTTGTTAAGCAAAATGAGCATGATAGCGATTCTTCAGATAGAGCTGAAATAATAGAAATAGAACGGGCAGAAAATACATCTGTAAATGCATGGGTTACTATAGAATCTGTCAAACCAGAGTCTTTAATGACGCATGAAGACCATAGTGATGTTTCTGAAGCGTTCGTAGAGATTCGAAAATCAGGTGACATGACAACAAATCCTGAGAATAGTTCTGTTCTGCATCCTGAAAGCACAGTAAACGATATCAGCGTGACGGCAGATTTTGCTAACATTCACATACTGGATGATGTTGGAGGGCAACATGACGAGTTAAAAGCTTTTCGTTCGATTGAGGCAGATGGTGTTGAACCTTTAGTCACTGATGTTACACGCGTGACTGAGGATCAAACATTGAGGACACCTACTAAAAACCAAGACAGCTTAGATGAAGCAACATTTGTTAAGGTCACGCAGAAGGAGATTCAATCTACAATGGCTGAAGTGCTTCAAGATCAATTTGAAACCCATTTGAGTGACGTTTATCGAGAAAGCTCAGAAGGTCAGGCAGTGCCCGATGGTTTGGACGAGTCTATAGGTACGACATCGGACGACGAACCAGAGGCTTCTGATCATGGTGGCACACCAGGTAAAAAGAAGCGAAAGAGGAAACGTAAGCCAAGAGGAAGATGCAAGCGCAAAGCGACAAAAGATACATCAAAGACATCTACCAACGATATTGAAAAAGTGCAAGATGCGGTTATTGGCTCTAGTGAGGTCGTCATATCTGATATAGAGGTTGTGGAACAAGCTGAACCTACAGAGTTTACTACAGACCGTGCAATTAGAGAGGACCCGGAGTTATCTATAGAAGTTACAATAGCAGATATTGAGGGTGAAAAGTCAGAGGAACATGTCGTTACAACTGTAGTTGTTGAGAGATCAATGGAAGAGATAGATATCACTACAAGTGAGGTCCAGATTCATGACGAAGAGGTAATTGTAACAGCGACTAGAGCAGAAATATTATCAAAATCCCCATTGGACGAAAGCAAAATGTATAGAACAGCTTTAGATAGGCCCCTTTCAGAAACTGTAGTGCTGGAAAGAGCAGTTGGTATAGCAGAAGAGGCAATACCTGAAGGCGAATGTGTCACTAGACATACCACTGTAATTACTAGTTTGACAACGAAAGAAAGTACGCGAGAAGTACTTGTAGAAGCTGTTGAAGACCAGCAGTCTCAAGTAAGAGACGATGTAGAATTGATTGATGGTGAACCTACATCAAATGCCACTACAGTTGTCTCTATTGAATTGGTTGGTGATGACCTCCAGGATATTACTGAGTGTGTAGGTGTAGAAAATCTATTCCCTGCTGAAGAAGATATAGACCATGATTTTAGCATTGTAGAACTACAACCATTGCAATCAACTGAGACCTATGTAGAGGACGAGGTTACTGAGATAGCGACACTCACAACTATAACAACAGCAACGATGACTGAAGGCCAAACAGTTGCTATTGAATCTACTACAGATACGGTAGTTTTTGAGAAAGAAGTGGCTACGGAAGATGCAACTGCAGACCCGGAAGTTTCTAAACCAGATGTACCTATGCTCATGATCATAGATGAAGCTATCACAGCAAAAGTACCCATGCCTTTATCTGCTGAAGAACGTAGGCCTGAAGTAACAGATGCCATAAACGTGATCGAACCTGTGCCGTTTGAAACAATGCTGGTCTCTGAAGAACAAGTTGTCGCAGACAGTCGGTATATTCAGGAGATGCAAGATGAAGAGAAGTTAGTAGAAACAGAGACAACAAAAGAAAGTGAATTCGTGGTAGTCGAACCAGAATTCACAAAGTCACCTGAGCTATATACAGAGCGTGAAGTTACTGAAATAACGACGGTGACAAGAATAAGAACAAGAGTAGTGACTGAGGGGGAGACAATATCTACACTAGTCACTACATATAAAGTTCAGGTTGAAGACCCAGAAGGCTTGGAAAGTAGGGAGTATACACAGTGCTCTGACACGTCTGAAAGGTCGTCCGTAACTACATCAGCAGCGGAAGAAACAGTGTCAACTGAGTTTGCTAATTCCCGGGAACCTGCAGATTCCAGCGCAGCAGAGATAAATGATATTAAACCAGATGAGCATATACGTGGTCTCATATCTGGGGTCGAGATGGCAAAGCTTGCACTTGAAGATACAGAGCTGACAACATCTGAGGAAGTCGATGAGATGTCGGAGCAAGTAGATACAAACGATGTCCATAAAGTCACGCATGTAGAGACATTCACAGTGAAACACGACCATGAAAAGCCAGATGTAACCGCAAGCGAAGTGAGCTTAGACACACCTGCTGATCCACGCGATTTCACAACTGATGAAGAATCTGAAGCTTTAGAAAACAACGAAGATCCATGTAAAAAGAAGAGGAAAAGAAAACGCAAACCAAGAGGCAGGCGACGTAAGAAGATTCATACAGAAAAACAGGAAGTAGATATTGAAGTCATTGCAGCAGGTCCAGAAGTGGTGGAGGTGTCGGAGCGAGGTGATGATAAATATATACAGAGCAGTGCGGAAATTGGAGAGCAGTATGATGAACAACTCAATGCACAAGTGACTAAAGCCGGAACTACTATGGTTATGGCTGGAATTCCAGTATACAAAGAGTTATCCAATTTTGAAATCGACGAAACAGGTCCGGGTGGCAGTACTGACGACACAGAGGGAGAGACTGCTTTGCAGCAGCAGTGTGACGAAATTGTAGATATAGATGTACGTGAAATGTTAGTAGAGGCAACCAAACCTCATGAATCACTCGCAAGTGAGAGAGAACTAGAAACCCCAGAACAAGATTTTGAGTTAAAAACACCGAGTGACGTGCTTCAAGAACAAGATGTGGTTGAGCTTGACACGTCGGAATTTGTGAGAGAACAGGCTACATTAGGTGAAGGCGTGAGAGAACAGGCTACATTAGGTGAAGGCGTGAGAGAACAGGCTACATTAGGCGAAGGCGTGAATAAACAAAAAGAACATGCAGTGCCTACTTCACTTGAAGTTGAGAAACAACAGTCGTCATTTAAGATTTCAATGACCGAGTTAGTGAGGTCAGAGGGACTTGGAGAGATGGATAGATCATTACGAGGTGATGAAAGACCAAGCCCTGCGGACAAAAGAAAAAGCAGGAATAGAGAGAGACATTGGACAAAGCGGCCACAGCCAAATTACGTATGCACTGCAGTTGGACTGAGCATGTTTAAGTTGCCTCTAGTAACCCTAAATAATACAGTGCAATTAACCATGTTTAAGTCAATAACTGCATGTGCCCCGATCGAGTATATCGAAATTAACATGATTTTAACATCATTGATGTGTAGAGCTGTGAGTAACATTTGCTGATGTGGATCCGTATTAATCGAACTAATCATAACCTCAGTTACATAGATGTATGATACTGACTGATGATTAATCTGTGGTTTGTAGGTCACTAAAGGCACGCAGAAAATAGAAAATGTCAAATACGCCGTAGAGGAAACACAGATGGTAAGTAATATATGTCCAATTAAAGCACTAGAAGAATCTCTACTGATTACTGATATTTTCAAATATTGGTAATCGCTTATGTTCCTTTCCCTGCTGTGCAACTGCTTTGCAGCTTTTGAAGCAAACAGCTGGATAGGTGATAAGTTGTTATTTTTAGCTGGTAAATCCTGAGGGATTTACAGTTTTCTTTTCTGGGGGTTAATTGCTTTGTGATGCAAGCGTATCAGTAATGGTTGAATGAGTTGGTATCAGCTTGTGGACTATGCAGCTCTCATGCTGCTTCAAGGATTTGCTGCATGCCGCGTATAACAAATTTGCTTATGCTGAGCCAATTATATCTGGGTAAAGTAAGCCAAGTGACAAAGCAGTAAAAGTTGGTTTGCGTCATAGTGACAACAATGACACGTGATAATGAAAATGAATACAAATACAACGAAAGTATATACAGTCGCAGCTTTTGACTATGGACGGGATAATCCACCTAGCAGCTAGGGCGTCTTTGCTGCTTTACTCACACATACAGACTAAAATCAAATGCAAGAGCTGTTCCCAAAATTGCAGTAGCTTTCAATATCTGCCTGCATAACTACACTAAAAAATTTCCATCTTATTCCTTGCATGCATATGTTACTGATCTCCTTCTTTCACTTTATTTATGTCAATATGTGTATAACTCCGTTTGATCTTGTATTTCGTTTATAATTCTAAGGGATCTTTATCTACATTCATATAGTAGTGTCGAATTTCCAACGTTAACTTGAAAAATCTGCATGTGATTTATGATGTTTCTCTCGAGTGTAATAGTATTCCTTCTCTTTTTATCTTGAGTTTTACTTTCTCTCTTACTTTCTTTCTTTCTATTCACTGCAGGATGCAGATCCAACAACAACAACAACAACAACAACAACAACAACATCAGCAACGGAAACAACAAAAATACAAATTGAACACCAACTAATTGACTCTGTACTAGTGGGTGACAGTTCAGAAATATGCATTGGGAATGAAAATGTAGTAGAAACAACTAACATTACAAGCCAGATCGAAAGGGAATCTGTGATAGAGGCATTCGAGCACAGGACTGCTGAAATAGAAATACCTACAGAGCGAGAAAGACAGTTTGAACTATTGAGTTCTACCACAGATGTGGGTAAAAATAAGAAGCTCGAAGGTTCAGACCTGAGTTCAGAAAAGCTAGCAGCCAGTCAGAAATTAGCAGGACATACAGAAGAACGCCGCATTAGCGAATATGATGATGTTTCAATACCGGATATATATGATGATTGGGGAGTGCTCCCTGAAGAGAAATGTACCGAGATTGTAGAAGTAGTAAATCAAATGGGAAGTGGAGGAGAGCCTGCTGATGTGTCGGACGCTGAGATAGATTTGAAAACTGATGATCCCAGCTGGGTTGCTATATCTAATGTTCAGTTTGGCTTGGATAAACAAGCAGTGGTGACAGAAATGAGAACAGAACTTGAAGACCAATCCGTAGCTCTCTATAGCGATGAGGTTATACCTGAGATTTATGACGATTGGGGTTTGGGTGAAGATCAGGCATATAGAATATCGACTGCAATTACTGGAGACAGGGTGGACGTGACTACTGAGCTGACACTATCTCATGAAGAAGTGGAAACACCGAATGAGCCTACAGAGCTGGAGATATCTAAAATTGAAGTGAAAACTGACAGGCCCACTGGGCTGCGAGCAGCTGAGGCAGATGTAGAATATCAAGAAGCGCCTAGAGTGTTACCAACACCCGAAGAAGAACTAGTCAAGCTAGAAGAGCATACGGAAGTGCCATTAGTTGAGGTAAAAATGAAACTAGAAATACCTAGAGAGCTGGCAACAGCTGAGGTTGAAATTAAGAAACCGGAAGAACCTACTGAGATATCTACTGCTGAGGTAGTGTTTGAGAAATCAGAGCAGCCTAGTGAAGTTCAAATCGCTGAGATTGAAATTAAGAAACCGGAAGCACCTGAGATCTCTACAGCTGAGGTGGAGTTTGAGCAGCAAAGGCAGCCTAGTGACGTAGAAACTGCTGAGGTTGAAATTGAGAAACCAGCAGAACCTACTGAGATCTCTACAGCTGAGGTGGAGTTTGAGGAGCAAGAGCCGCCTATAGAAATAGAAACTGCTGAGGTTGAAATTAAGAAAACATCACAACCTTCTGAGATCTCTACAGCTGAGGTAGTGTTTAAGATACCAGAACGGCCTAGCGAAATAGAAACTGCTGAGGCTCTAGTCGAAAAACCAGAAGAGCCTTCTGAGATATCTACAGTCGAGGTAGACTTTGAGAAACCAGAGCAGCCGAGTGAAGTAGAAACTGCTGATGTTGGAATTGAGAAACCAGCAAAACCTACTGAGATCTCTACGGCTGAGGTAGATGTTGACATACCAGAACATCCAAGTGAAGTAGAAACTGCTGAGGCTCTAATTGCAAGGCCGGAAAAACCTACTGAGATCTCTACAGCTGAGGTAGAGGTTGAGAAACCAGAGCAGCCTAGTGAAGTACAAATCGCCGAGGTTGAAATTGAGAAACCAGAAGAACCTACTGAGATCTCTACAGCTGAGGTAGAGGTTGAGATACCAGAACAGCCTAGCGAAGTAGAAATCGCTGAGGTTGAAATTAAGAAACCGGAAGAACCTACTGAGATCTCTACAGCTGAGGTAGAGTTTGAGAAACCAGAGCAGCCTAGTGAAGTACAAATCGCTGAGGTTGAAATTGAGAAACCAGAAGAACCTACTGAGATCTCTACAGCTGAGGTAGAGTTTGAGAAACCAGAGCAGCCTAGTGAAGTAGAAACTGCTGAGGTTGAAATTGAGAAACCAGCAGAACCTACTGAGATCTCTACAGCTGAGGTAGAGTTTGAGAAACCAGAGCAGCCTAGTGAAGTACAAATCGCTGAGGTTGAAAT